ATCAGCTCTCTTTATAAGTTCAATTCTATTGCTTTTGGGCTGTTTGCTGTTAATCTCTCCCAAAAACTTACTGCAAGATCTTTGCCAAGGTTCACTTACTGTCCATAATTTGTCAATTTCATCATTAGTTAAAGGTATGACAATTTCTGCTGGGTCTATTCCTGCTAATTGATGAAGTCTGAGTTTTCCTTTTAAAATCTACTCAGATCTTTTCCACATAAGTTTTTAATTTTTTACTTTTTAATTTTGTTTATTTGGTAGTAATATCCATCCCAATGTAATATCTTCCCTCTGCATTAAAATTCCTGTAGAAAAATGCTTAGAGGGTAGAATAACCAAAATGCAATCAATCTTTGGATCCACACAATCCACATGTACATCCTGTATTTTCTTTTCCACCAAAGCCAATTCTCTCTCAGCTTCAGCTGATAATTCTCTTGGACTATTAAAGTCCTTGTCACCCTCTAAGGTTTTGAACAAATTACTGAGTTCATCGTTTTTTGCCCCAATAGTGGTCAGTAGATTGAAAATGTTTCCTAATAATCTTTGAAAGTTGGACACCATAATCGATCTCTCCTTATTTGGACCTTTAGGGGTCTAATTTTTTGTAGACCTATTTTATATCCCAAATAATTAATAGAATCTCCTTTGCATCTTTTCAGGAGCAATTTGTAATCCCCAACAAGGCAAAATTTTATTTACTTCTTCAAATATTGTTTCTAAAGTATCTACATTTGAATTAGCTAGTAAAATGTCATCCATGTAATAATAAACTATAGACTGAGGAAATTGTTTACGTATTACTTCCAGTGGAAGGGTGTGTGCCACCACTGCCTGACCTCTATCAAGTGGCTAGCGCTGTCCTTTGATCCTCTGGCAAGTTTATTAGGGTACACAATATATCTCCACATTTCCCTCTTTTTATCTGAAATAATAAATATTTACTTTTATTTTATGTGTATGGGTGTTTTGCCACATGCATGTAAGTATACCATGTACATGCAGTGCTGACCAAATGGTGTTGGATCCCCTAGGACTGGAGTTGCAGAGGGTTGTGAGCTGCTATATAGGTGCTGGGAACTGAATTTGGGTCCTCTGCAGGAGTAGTAAGTGCTCTTAACCTACAGTCTAAGAAGGCAGTAAAACTCTGAGTTGAGACTAAAAGGTGGAGTTAATTGAGAGACAGCATTCAAGGGCATCAGAGAGGGGACTCAGTGCTGCATGAGCTCTGAAGAAACTATTATACTTATTCTAGTAGAAGATACTGGGACTGAAAGAGGAATGGCAATCCAGTGAGATGGATGTGACAAATGAAAGAGAGGTTATGACTTAAATATGCACAAGATCAGTAACAATATATATCTAAAACAATGGAGCCATTCATAAAAATTAGTAAATCAGGGTTAAAGGTTGATTTTGACATAAAATAATATAGTTCTCCCTTTCAGCAAATCTTTACCATTTATATTTGAGTTATTTTGATATTTAAACAGTATATTTGCTAAGAGTTCTCTTTAATTACAAAGACATGGTGATTAAAAAAACTTTGTTTTAGAATTTTATAGTGTGTGTGTGTAGTATGTGGGCCTGCCATATGGTGTTCAGAGGACAGCTTGGTGGCAGTCTCTTCTCTCTTGCCACCCGGTTGGATCTGGGGATCCTTAGGCCTGAGTGTAAACTGAAAACTATGCCTATCTTAATGAAGAATACAATCATTAAGTTGGTAAAAGTACACCAATGTACTGTAGACTTCGCTTGTTACAGAAACGAAGTGTGAACTTAGGAGAGCTGTGGCTTAAACAGCTGTTCCTTAGTTCTGTAGTCGATAGTCAACTTTTAACTCCACTTCTCCTGATTTACAGTAAGTGAGCTTGATTTAGGGGGAAGGGAGGAAAGAAAAGCTGCTCTAGAATTGTTCAGATGGCTTTAACAGAGATGATTTAGTCATGATCTCTTTCCCTCCCCATGTTCCACCAGACAGCAGAAAAGGTCTGTCAAATTCAGACTTCAACCTGAAAAATTTCACTGTCACATGACCTGTACCAGAAACAGTCTTTTTTTCTTTTATTGTACATGTTATTTTCACAATGAATAGTCTCCCTTTGTACTAAATTTTGAAGTAATATCATTATGCATCCCATGTAATTATTTAGGCTACTTATAATTAGTTTCCTTTTTTTATGTGGAATATATATTCTAAGATGTCCATTGGGTGCTGGAGGAGGATGCAGGGGAAACACTGGACCAAACCCTCTATACACTGTGTTTCCTTATTTAAGTCATTTACGAATGTCCCTTTCTTCCTCACTAAGCACTATGCTTTGTGGCCCTAACTTCTGCAGTTTGAGAAGGAACAATGAATTCCCTTTCCTTTCAGCAGTGCCGTGGATAGATTTGCTTCATTGTCACTCTCTACAACCTCAGCTTGTGGGTATTCTTATTCCCTTATTAAGTCATTGCCTTTCGCCTTTTAACTTAAAGTACTCTAGAGCATCATTCCAGCATAACTGCATCGTCAACATTACTGTTTTCCTTAGGGGCCATTTCAGTTGGGGGGGTCAGGTGGATCTGATGAACGTTATGACTGCTCACTAATGATCAGTAGGAAGTAGGAACACAGGATACTGAAGAGATGATTCATCCTCTTTGCAATAGGGTGGGATGCCAGAAATTTCATCCCACTACTCAAATTGATTTACATCTTAAGCTTATCACTTATTTCTGAATGTTTTCATTTAGTATTTTCTAGCTACTGTTCCCTTTGGTAATGGAAACTGTGGGAAGCAAACTAGGGGACTACTGTATCTAGCAGCCAGTTTACTGTTACTGTAATGAAGACAAATTTTATACATAAAAGAGGCTTATGTAGTTCGTAGTTCAGGATGTTCAAAGTCAGGTACTCAGGTACTGGGGGCACTGTTTCTGCCTGCGGAAAAGGTCTAGTGGGTAGACAGCATCATGGTGGGAATACAGAGAGACTGCAATTCACAGTCTCTAGAAAGCCTGAGTCCAGTTGACCTGGGGTCCTGCTAGCAGGCCCAGCCCCCAGCAACTGCTCACTGGTTTCCAACTTGGGAGCTGTGAATTCCTGGGGGCAGGATGCAAAACAGGTCTAAAACCTAGCAGATAGATGGTTTTAGGGTTGTGAACTTGAAGTCATGGTTTTCTGGCCTCTGATAAACTAAATCAGGACATTGCTGGATTAAGCAACATTAAGATTTTTATCCTGGAGAGAGTTGGGAAGGGGAGGACGATTCTGATAATAATATGATAAGGTGACTGTTCCAAGATTCTGATACTAATATGATAAGGTGGCTGTTCCAAGGAGAAACAACATTTTACACATTCACAGGAGCACAAACCCTTCATTCACAATCTGTTTTTCAGGTCTGCTGTTACTAAGAACAAAGTGCCTGAGTTTATACATCATCAGAAAAGACAGTAACTGCTTCTTCTTTTGCCATACAATGCAGAAAAGTGTTTACAAATGGCAGAGTCTTCCATGTTAGATCAGAAAAGTCCTTACACACTTTGAGATCTTCCACATTAGATCAGAAAAATCCTTGCAAACTATGAGGTCTTCCAAGTTGGATTTGCAAAATACACAAAAAGGAATCCAGACAGGTAAATAAAAAACTAGTGATTTAATTATCCTAGTACATTTTGAATCAGCATATTCACCTTGACAGAAAAAGTAATATTAAAAGAGTGAAGGAATGTTTGAAATCCAGGTTATGATTTTGTCATTGAGAAAAAATTTTAAAATAATAGCTATAAGTTATAAAAGTCAATTGTTCTAGTAGAAAATCTTCCTGAAACACAATAAAGTATCATAGAAAACTTTGTGCTTACAACAGAGTAGAGAAAGTGATTCATGACTCTATGATTTAGTGTTTTGCTCTGTCTGTACTCCATCGCTACAGAAATAAATATGAGTCTTTAAAAATTGTATTTCCTACCCAATACCAAATGGTTGTCCCTGAAAATATTCATATGAGCAACATTATACAGACTGGGCAGGTTGTATTAGTGATTTTTGTATAAATATGTATCACTAAATATAACATTATTGACTGTAATAGCAATGAATGAAGAAAGAGGCCATGAATTTGAAGGATAACAAAGAGGGCTGGGATGGAGGAAAGGGAAGGGGAAATGAGTGTAATCTCAAAAAATAAAAGAAAAACTGTTGATGGCATTATGGTAGGCACATGTTCTTTATTCTTTTTTAGGCACAACAATATCACATGTTTGTCTTCCTACATCAATACATGTAGCACTAAGTACCTTTATTTTTTTAAAGGAAAAAAGACGTTATTTAACATACTACAAAGAGAGCAGTGGGTAAGGCAGTAACAGAAAAACTACCTGTCCAGAGCTAAATAAAAATCTTAATAAAGATAATCTTGATAATATTATATTATATAGTTCTAGTAGAATTTGTTTAATCAATGGGATTAAAATGTTCTTAAGGCTGATATAATTTCTTTTACCAGACACTGCTGTAGTTGCTTAAAAAAATAAATACTGTTTATATATAGTAAGATCTTCTTTTTAAAAGTGTTATTGCACTTATTTATTGCGTGTGTGTGTGTGTGTGTGTGTGTGTGTGTGTGTGTGTGTGTGTGTGATTATGATGCTCATGTGGAGGTCAGAGGACAGCTTGGAGTCAGTTCTCTCCTTTTGCACATGGTCCTGGGGCCTGATCTCAGGTCAGGATGGTGGTATCGCTTTGGCTTTATACTAGAACCTTTGTGGTAGACTGGATGGGAGAAGAATGTGTACATTTACATTTCTGTATCACTAAATTGCTTTTTACCAAATGGTATAGGCTTTTAACTGCCAGCATTGTAAGGTTTATCAAACTTCAATAAAATAAAACAAAACCTATACATTTGTAATGGGTAACAGAATTTCTTGCTTTGATAATCTTAAAATTATTCAGATAACTTATAAAGCAGTGATAATCATGATATCTCTCTTTCCCCTACTCTTTACAGAGCAAACTATTCATGGAAGGATTTAGAAGCTTAAAAGAAGGAGAGCCAGTGGAATTTACATTTAAAAAATCCCCCAAAGGCCTTGAGTCAATACGGGTAACAGGACCAGGTGGGAGCCCCTGCTTAGGAAGTGAAAGAAGACCCAAAGGGAAGGCCCTGCAGAAGAGAAAACCAAAGGGAGACAGGTAATGTGCGGCTGACTTGTGAGTGTGTTATATTTGGGAAATATTTGTAAAAGTTTCTTACCGTTTTGTGTATGGATTTTATGGAGCCTAGCCGAAAGAAAATGGCATCACTGTAGCTGAAGAGACCGGGTCAAGAAGACAGTCTTGTCTTGCAGTTTGGACTCTCTTCAGAGTGCTGAGGCCCAGTTAGCATGAAGTGTGGGACAGTGTTGTGATTACCATTCCCCAGCCTGTTGGAAGACCAGAGGAGGAGCTCAGGTTCTCTCAGAAGAAATGCCTCTCTCTGTGTACAGTTTTCTGATTCACCACATGCTTTTTCCAAAGAGAGTGTGCTTACTGCTTTGTCTGTTTTTAAAATGACAACTCACACTTTGAAAATTCAAACATTAAAAAACTGGGAAAGTCACTTGAAATCCCAAATGCAGGCAGAAGTCATAAACTATATACTGTCTTTTTGTTGTTTTTTTAAACCATCTCTTATATGTCATTAATTAATAGCTACATACATTCTCACTATATGAATCTGCCAAAATTTACAAGCAATGCTGTTAGGGCTATTGAGTCTGTTTTCTGTGCTTTGAAATCAGCACCATTTTATCAATTCTTATGTGTACATTTTTGAAATATTGTCTGATTATATCTTTAGAATAAATATGTACTATTGAAAATCTGGACCAAAGATTATGTTCTGAAAGGTTTTGGAACCTGGTTCTAAACTGCTGTCCAGAATAACTAGAGCAGAGAATAACAACAAAAGTGAGATAGTTTTCTGAATATTATGTAGTCTTTTTAGTTACACAGCTACGGACCTCAGTGGCTTTTGTCTTTTGTAACATTTGACTGCAGCAGTGTGAACTCTGACTATAAAAGAAAAATGGAACATCATTAGAATGAGTTTAAAAAGCAACATAATCTCATAATCTAGTGTACCTTTTTATGCCAGTTGACTTTCTGTTGCTATGACAAAATACTTGAGAAAATTAACTTTAAAAAGGAGAAATTTATTTTGCTCACTTCATGACTATTGGAAAGGAGAGAGAGTTGGCAGAGGCCTCAAAGGTACATCCTCAGTAATCTCTTTTTGCCAACTAAGCCCCATCTTCTTAAATCCAGTTTCCTGTTAAGCTGTGAACCCATTGATGTTATTAAAGTGAACCACTTCCCAAAGGTCCTACTTCTGAACACCGCTGCCCAGGGGCCAAGCCTTTAACATAAGCTCTTCAGAGCATTTAGATCTAAGTTGTAACATTCCTTAAAGTACCTTCTGACAGCTGTTACTTCAGCTAATTTGAAGAAGCAAAAGTGGAAGCTGAGAAATCAATAAGGGATGCTATTCCTGTGGTGGTTTGGATTGGGGTGGTAGACATAGAAATGGTGAGCGAAATTCCTATATGTTTTGAAGGTGGAGACGGCAGGATTTACTGATGGATCAGATGTGGACTGTGAGAGAAGAAGAGTCCAGGATGATTCCAAGGTTTGTTTGGCCTGGGCAACAAGAAAGATGGAGGGACCAGTTGCCAAGATGGGAAAAACTGCAGAAGGAGCAACACATGGACAGCTTGGCTTGGGGCATGATGAATATGCAGGAGGGTTACGAATTAAGTGGAAAGGTACATGATACGAGTTCTAGGGCTGAAGGTAAAAGTTCAGCAGTATTCAGTGAAATGATATTTATACCCATAGTGGAAAGAGGAATGAGCCCTGGATCATTCTAGTGCTTAGAAGGAGCAGTTAAAGAGAGTGGGAGACCATCTAGAAGGGTTTTGTCTTGGAAGACTGTTCAGAGATGCTGATGATAATGATTATGATGAGCACCGAGACACCAGCTGCTTAGCAACACAGAAGTGACTACTGGACATAACAAGAACAGCTCTGCAGACTGGTGGAAATGAAAGCTTGTGTGTCTTGTTCAGCAGAAAAGGACAGGAGAGGAAGCAGAAGCAGCAAATGCAGTATGGGGGCATTTTGTAAAGGTTAAGAAATAACAGAATGAGTCGGGCGGTGGTGGCGCACGCCTTTAATCCCAGCACTCGGGAGGCAGAGCCAGGCGGATCTCTGTGAGTTCGAGGCCAGCCTGGGCTACCAAGTGAGTTCCAGGAAAGGCGCAAAGCTACACAGAGAAACCCTGTCTCGAAAAACCAAAAAAAAAAAAAAAAAAAGAAATAACAGAATGGGTATGTGTTGATGGGAGGTGGTTTAATAGGAAAGGAGGAGTCAGCCTGCAGGAGAGAGGAGGCCATGGCCGCAGTGACTCTTTGGGTTAAAGATGAAATTGAAAGCACAGTTCTGAGGTCTGACTATAATTAGCCTACATGAAAATGGAGTTAGATGATGAGCAGTATCTAAAAAATGATAGGGGCCTGTCAAACAGGTGTAGAAGCTGGCTAGGAGGTGTTGGTAGGATGGAAATTTGAGTACTTAAGTCAATAACAGCTCTATAGATTATCAATCCTGGAGAGGAAACCAATGGCTCTGACATAGAAATAAATGAAAATTTTCCAGTGTGATGAGGAGTGGATTACTTACAGTCTTAAGGCATCTCTTCCAACAAAATGCTTACTAATTACAAAAGTAAATAAATAGAGAAGTCTGTCCGATAACATCTTGGTCACATGGTCAAAGATAAAAATGATCAGTAATGGGAATACTTAAAGTATATGGCATCTGATAGAATACTGCACAATATGACTCCCATGACAGCCTTGCTGAAGATGAATAACCTCAATCTACCTTTAAGGGACTAGTACACAAATACAGACTACAATCTAGATTCATCCCAGTGTTTCAAAACTCATACCTCTCATTCTTCTGGTGCCTTTAGATGTAAAGGTAGACAGAAAGAGTGTGGTTAGATTGAAGTTTCAAAGACTTGGCACAGAACTCCTAGCGTACAAGCAGTGCAAGCAGGAGGAGAGCACATGTGGAGATTTGTACTGGTGTGAGCCTCCTTTGAACCTAGAGTTTGCAAAACGGAAAGTAATGGTGGTAGGGCTGGGGATATGGGTTCATGGGGAAGCTCTTGCCCTGTTATGTGCAAGGCCTTGGTCTTAATGCTGGATAGTTAAAAAATGACAGTCAGTAGTTGATTTGGTTTACTGAAGCTTGAAAAAGGCAGACTTCCAGTTAATTCTTTTTAAGAGAAAAATTAACACTGGTACCTTTTTGTATGTTTTGCTTGATTGGAATATTGATTTTATTTTATTTATCAAACTGTCATAACAATTTATATTTTTATGCACAGTTCTGTGAATGCTCACATGCATACATTGCTCCTCTCACCATTAGGATTTATTCAGATCAGGCAATTACAGTCGACAAACAACTGCTCACCGCCTTTTATAGCTGCTCACCGCCTTTTATAGCTACCCGCTCCTGTCTATATAACCTTGGCGACCAGTAATGTGTGCTTTCATATTATGACTGTTTTTGCTTTTGTGGCTGGCATATGATCAGATTTGTTTCATAACCTTTTGAAATGTTTTATTTTTCTTCCATCATCATGCTTTTGAAATTTATCCGCAATGTTGAATGTGTCAGTAGTTCATTCTTTTATATTGTTGGGTAATATTCCATTATTAGGCTATAGCAGTGTCTATCTAATTCATCTGTTGAGGGATTTGGGTATTTTCCAGTTGTGGCAGTTATGAACAGATTGTACAAAGACTCAAGTATGAGTTTTTATGCACATTAGTCTTGGGTTTTGGAGTGGAACAGCTGTAATATACTGTGGTTGTGGGTCCGTGCTTACCTTGGTTTTGCAGAGGAGTCACATTCTTCTGTAATTCTGTCAGCAGTGTGCAAACCACCTGCTATGCATGTTTGCCAGTAATTGATGTTTTCAACTGAACATAAGCCCGTATATGTGGTGGTCATGGTTGTAATTAGGGTGTATTGTTGTGGTTATGGCTGCTGATGCTGAACATTGTCCAAGGCATTTTGACGCTGCTGACTTTATCCTCTGGCAAACTGGTTATCTTTGCCTTTTTTTTTTTTAAACTGAGATGTTTATTTTCTTGTTACTCTGAGAGCTTTTAATATACATTATGATACAGGACATTTGCCAGATAAACTTTTTCTAAATATTTTCTTTTATTCTATAGTCTGTTTTCCTCTCTTGTAGATAATCTTGTAGTGTAAAACTTTTTATTTTGATGAGGACAGTTTAACTAACCTTTGTTTGATGTCATGTTTAAGAATCCTTTGCTGCTGGGCGGTGGTGGCACACGCCTTTAATCCCAGCACTCGGGAGGCAGAGCCAGGTCGATCTCTGTGAGTTTAAGGCCAGCCTGGGCTACAGAACAAGATCCAGGACAGGCACCAAAACTACATGGAGAAACCCTGTCTCGAAAAAAACAAAACAAAACAAAAAAAAGAATCCTTTGCTTAAAAGGTGGACATGGTGGCCTCCCTCTCTAAAATCAGCACGTGGGAGGCAGAGACAAGTGATCTCTGAATTTGAAGCCAGCCTCGTCTACAGCCTGGAGAAAGTTCCAGGATAGCCAGAGTGACATGAAAAAATCCTGTCTCGACAAAACAAAATAAAAAAGAGAATTCTTATTATAGTTAGATGTTTTGCATTTACTTAATGATCCAATTAGAGTTAGCTTTATAGTTAGTTTAACATTTAGATTGATTTATTTTAATTTATGAATCATATGAACTGTTGAAATATTGTCTGTTGAAATGAAGAATGTTCATTCTGTATGGTTAAATCTTCCATGTTAGAAAAGATTTCTTACAATTTGAGATGAAATAATTTTGTTTTTACTGTTTAGTTTGTTTTATGTTCATCTTCAGAAGAGTAAGGAGACAAAACCCCTTATAGTTTTCCTCATTATAAAATGAAGGTGGGCCGGGCGGTGGTGGCGCACGCCTTTAATCCCAGCACTCGGGAGGCAGAGCCAGGCGGATCTCTGTGAGTTCGAGGCCAGCCTGGACTACCAAGTGAGTTCCAGGAAAGGCGCAAAGCTACACAGAGAAACCCTGTCTCGAAAAACCAAAAAAAAAAAAAAAATGAAGGTGGCTAATGAGAAATTGGAGACCTTATGATTTTTTTCTTAAAGCTTAGTCTTGGTACCTTTCTCCAAAGAACACAGTTTACGATGAAAACAAAAAGTAAATTTTAACAGTTAAATTTGTAGTAAACTAATAAAATGATAATTTTGACTGCCATTATATTTACACGAATTAATATTGTCAAATTACATTGTGGAATTAACTATTTCATTATGAAATTTTAGTTTATACTTGCAGATGTTTGGAATGACTAAACAGACTTGCGTGAGACTAATGGTCTAGAAATCTTTGTACAGATAAAATGACTTGATACTAAATAATTAGTAAATGAAGTACATGTAACTTTTCAGGACATCTGTAGTGAATTCACATACAGAAGATGGATCTGGGGTATACTGTCTGGTTCTAGGACTTCTCTGTTCACAGTTTCTCTCTTTCCTCTTGTAGCTCTGTCTCCACCCAGTGGAGTGACTGTTGTCTTTGTTCTCCCATCTCCTGACCCACCACACACTGGATGATAATGGAAGCCTTTTCTAACAGCTGTGCCTTGAATTCATAAGAAATAATTTAGATTTTTAAAAGTAACTGAGAGAATATTCCAGTGCTTCCAATTATTTTGGTTCAATATTTGATTTTTTAATCCATATCAGCATGTTAGTACTTTTTTCATCTTCTATATAACTTAAAGTAGTATTTTGTTTCTAAAGAATATTAATTGCAAAGGGTTTTTGTTTTTGAGTGGAAATTCAGGGAATTCCTTTATTTGGTACAATTAAATGGTTTTTATTTACACTGATTCTGAGTTTGGCATTCCTGGTAGTCCAGTATTAAAATGACACATTGTGATATGCTGTCTTTATGGTCAAGAAGACCAGGGTGAGTATAAATAGAATCTAATTATATGGTATCTGGTTTAAACTCAACTCAGAGTCACACACACACACACACACACACACACACACACACGACCCTGGTTTTTACATGAGATGTATGATAGTTAATTTTTACAAAACTGTGATTTGGTGGGCTCAAATTATTTTAAATTTGTAAGAAAGTTTTAGAAGAGATTCAGGGTTAGAAAAATTGGCAGACATTGCTTAATGAAGAGTTGTATGTTCTATTTATCCCATGGAAAATATTTGCATGATGCCCTTGTTCACTCTTAGAACAGGAGCGCTACAAATTGGGTACTGGTAGGCCTTCCCTTACCCCGGAAATCTGGTGATGTGTCTTTTGAAATCTTAATAGCATTCCTGAAAATAATAAGGCATGCTTAGAGTTTGTTGTTTGACTTTAAGAAGTCTGTAAGTGGTATTATTTTCATGTTTACTATATCTCAGAACCTATTTCCAAAAGAAAATTAAAATGCTATTTAGGTGCCAGAGGTATTTGAAAAGATGTAAATCGACAAATTCCAATAAATGTTTCACCCTGATACTTGTGTGATTAGATTTAGGA